GATCTGCCTCTTCTGTTCCCCACTCTGTCTTTGGTGAATCCTCTTGCCCCTCACACTTCTAGCCTGTACCCCAGTTCTTGAATACACAAATAAATAAATCTGTAAAAGGGGGTGGGAAGTGTACGGGGATTATAACCAAGATGAAATGCATACATTGTGCAAAAATGAAAAATGATGTAAAAAATATATAAAATAAAATAAAATTTAAAAATAAATCTGTAAAAAAATTTATAATTAGTATATATCTACAAAAATTTTTATGTATCTACAAAACTTATGTATAAAAATAATGATTTCTACTGGTGACAGTCACAAGTTTTAATATTACTGTGATTTGTTGTCCACATTTATAAGTTTTAGTTAGAGATACATGAAAAAAAAAAGATAATTTTATTTCCAAATTCCCATCTACTTCTTGGGTTCTGTTAATCGTCCATGTAATTAGATTAAGAATTCTTGCTCTAAAAAGACCATCTCAGCCTAGTATAATTTTAGAATACAATGGAGAGAAAGGGTAGAGCAGGGCCAACCAGAAGCTCCTGGAAGAGAGGGGCAAATGAGGGATAAAATGTGTATTTTTAAAACCATATGTATAATTCTATTTCTTTTTTTCCATTCATAATATTTATTTAATTTTGAAATTTCAGGTAGCTTAAAGGAGATCCTGCCAGTAACTAACATAAGAACAGAGGCTTTTTTTAAAAGTGGCTAAGATATGGGTCACACTGTGCTGGCCTTATCCCTGCTATGTCTTGGGTAGCACCAGGTGCAGGCTCGTTCCCCTTATTACCTGGGGCCATTCAGAGCCTGCTTGGCCTCCTCCTAGATGGCTCTACTTTATCCTTAGCCTTGGGGAAATGGGGGTTCTCTGGAGGCGCACTGAGAGAGAACGTATCTATCGCAGGTCTGGGAGGGACGCTGGAGAGTCATCCCATATGATGTGCTGCCTGACTGGCTGAAGGACAATGACTACTTGCTACATGGCCATCGGCCACCCATGCCCTCCTTCCGGGCTTGCTTCAAGAGCATCTTCCGCATCCATACAGAAACTGGCAACATCTGGACCCATCTGCTTGGTGAGTGATATGGATGGAAAATGTCTCCTTAAATGCCAAGGGAGTCTATAACCTTTGTCCATGGGAAGGAAGAAGAGCAAAGTTGTTCTGATTGATGAGTAGCTGGCACTGTTCCTCCAAATTATCAGTGAGCTTGGGTGATTCTTGATCACTGATCCTTGAAATGGGGGAAGGGAGGCCTCACCACAGGAGAAGATACTGGAACTACATGTTCTCATGTGATCCCTGGCACAACTTCTCTAGATAGAAGCAATTCCTTCTAGTTCATAAATTCTCCTTGTCAAGACAAAATGCCAACATTTCCCAAAAAGGGGGTTTTATCTGGGATTTATATGATTGGTGCCATTTTTTCCTGAAATTTCAGACTGTAGTTCCCACAGTTTCACCCTGTAGTTCACTGATTTAGTACCATAGACTGTCAAAGTGCGTTTATTCCCTTTTTCCTCAGACTTTCTGGTGTTTTTTTTTTCCCCCCTCCTGTAGGTTTCGTGCTGTTTCTCTTTTTGGGAATCTTGACCATGCTCAGACCAAATATGTACTTCATGGCCCCTCTACAAGAGAAGGTGGTTTTTGGGATGTTCTTTTTGGGCGCAGTGCTTTGCCTCAGTTTCTCCTGGCTCTTTCACACCGTCTATTGTCACTCAGAGAAAGTCTCTCGGACGTTTTCCAAGTGAGTTGAAAGCGTGTCAGTAAAGACCAGGCACTATTGATGCAGCTGGTGAGCTGACTGTTAACTGATTGCTGGGAGCTCCAGTGCTCATAAACGTCCCCAGTTTGCCAGAAGAAAGACATTCTATTTGGGGACTATAATAGGGTGATAAGCTTTTCTCCTACATCCTTCATGAAAAAATTCACTACTTAGGGCCTCCCTGGTGGCGCAGCCGTTGAACGCTGGGTTGCGAAGCTGCCCGCAGCCTCTGCAGCGCCAGTTCGATTCCTGGCCTCCAGGCGAGGGTCCCACATGGCGCGCAGACCTCTCCTGCCGCCCGCTGCTCCCCTCAGCAGTGTACTTCGTCTGTTTGCCTGCTCTGTTCCCCGCTCTGGCTCTGGTGAATTCTCTCACCCTCCCGCGCTTCTGACTGTACCCAGTGCTTGTATAAATAAATAAATCTTTAAAAAAAAAAAAAATTCACTACTTCCATCTCAACAGATGAAATCCAGTTGTGGAATATATTTTCTTTTTCTTTTTTTTTTTTTTTTTTTTAATAGAGGCATGTTTTATTTATTTATTTATTTATCTGTTTGTTTGTTTATACATGCACTGGGTACAGTCAGAAGCGCGGGAAGGTGAGAGAATTCACCAGAGCCAGAGCGGGGAGCAGAGCAGGCAGAAGGACCGAAGTACCCTGCTGAGGGGAGCAGCGGGTGGCAGGAGAGGTCTGCGCGCCATGTGGGACCCTCCTCCGGTGGGCGGGGAGCAGCCGGGGATTGAACCGGCGCCGCAGAGGCCGCGGGCAGCTTTGCAACCCAGCGCTCAACCGCTGCGCCACCGGGGAGGCCCTGTGGAATATATTTTCTACCTGCACAATACTATCCCTTAAGAAACTTGTAGTGCCATTGTGCTGCATTCTGAGACCAAGTACCAAGTGCTATCTTAGCTTCCTATTGGCCAGAGTCAAGCAGGCGTGGTACTCCGTGCTTCGTCTGCTGGTGCTCTAGCCCAGCTGTCAAGTCACGCTTATCTGTGCTGCCCATGCGTTGCTGGAAGCCCCAGATGTCTGCCATCTCCGGCTTTCCATACTCTCAGCTCCGAGCTTGGAGCTCTGTTTGTTTGTTTGTTTGTTTTTATTGTTGTTGGCTTTGGATTGGCGGTGGGTTTATTGTGTTTTTCCCAACAATACCCATTAGAAGAACACATTTTTATCCTGAAAAATGTCAACTGAAACAAAACAGTACCCTTAATAATATTCCCAACTTGGGCCTCCCTGGTGATGCAAGGGGTTAAGCACCGCACTATGAAGCTATTACAGCCTCTGCAGCACAAGTTCAATCCCCGGCCGGCCAAATAGAAACCCACATGGTAAAGCAGACCTCTCCTGTCTCACCCGCTGCTCCCCTCAGCAGTGTATTTCAGTCAGTCTACCTGTTCTGTTCCCCACTCTGTCTCTGGTGAATTCTCTTTCTCTCTCTCTCTCACACACACACACACACACCGCATCTCTGGCCTGTACCCCAGCTCTTGTATGCATAAATAAATAAATCTTTAAAATAATAATAATACCAACTTAAGAGTTTTGTTTTAGAATTCAACCTGGCAGGAACGGAGACTATTCAGAGCCTTCCTGAGTACAGAGCTGAGAACCAGTGAGATCGAAGCATCAACTAGCAGTTCACAACTAAGGCGGGGGACTAAAATTCTGTGACCAGGGCTTCTTGGAATATTTCTACTGAAGAATATAAGTGCCTGACTTTGTGGGATTTTAATCCAGGTTATAGGATAGGTTGTATGGCAAGTGAGACTAGGGTTGGTCAGATCTGGGACTAGAGAATGGAATGAACCAGTTAAATAAATGAAAGGGGTTCTTCATTTCTTCCACACTGGCTGATTTCACTTTTTGTGGTGCTCTTTTTTAGACTGGATTATTCAGGGATTGCCCTCTTGATTATGGGGAGCTTTGTCCCCTGGCTCTATTATTCCTTCTACTGCTCCCCCCAGCCACGGCTTATCTACCTCTCCATCGTCTGTGTCCTGGGCATTTCTGCCATTATTGTGGCACAGTGGGACCGTTTTGCCACCCCTAAGCACCGACAAACAAGAGCAGGTAAGTAGAATACATGGTGTAAACCTCATAGGTATTTGGACCTTGGTTTGCAGCCTAAGGTTTGCAGTTTGGGGACCCCACCCAAATCTTGATTTGTATTTAAAGCTTTCAAAACTGCAAGACTTTTCAAAGCTCAATTCCCTTAAGTTTCATATGACTTCAGTCGATGGCTAATAGGACAGATCATTACCAACTGGTCAGTTAGCTGCAAGTATAGATATGAGAGCTCTTATATTTGGTGTGAGAAAGTTTTATTTAAAAAAAAATTAACCAAGCACTGTCATTTTAGTGGCCTTAGTCCTAAGTATTCAAACCATGGGGTTAAATTTAAAACACCCAGAGTTATTTTACTAAGGGAATGGAATGCTTGGGTTGGTGAATAAAATACCTTGAGCATAAACATTGGTTAACGACTAAGACTATAGCTATAAGCATAAACATCTTTGTGTTGTCCAATCTAGACTCTTATTTTAAACTTTATTACTTCAAACAAAACACGAATTAAGTATTAATCTTCTACGCTTTAGGCTTTTTAATACCTGTTGTGTTTTACCCTTCAGTGAAAAGAATTAAATATTTATCAAAGACCATCTTCTAGGCATTGTGCCTACCAGGGGCTTCTACAGTGATAGAGAAGGTAGTTCTTACCTCCTTTCATGTAGAGTGTAGCAACATGGAGACAGGTGCCCATTCTTCCCTCATGCTTTATCTGTGTGTACCAGCAGCCACGGACACCTTGTGGATTGGGTATAGCTATCTACTCAGGAGGTTGGGGTCCTGCTTACGTAAGCCTACTACGATCTTAGCGGGAAACCTGTCCTACTCCTCACTGGCTTGCAAGACACCTGAAGCTTTGCCATCTAAGTTCTGTATCCAAGTCAGCACTCAGAGGATTGTGACATATTATTTTCGCCTAGGCTTCTTAACAGATAAATGAGAGTGGGAGATGTTTGTTCTTGGTGATCTTTAAAAGGTAATCACTGTATAAGCCCTTATCCAGCCCTCTCCCCATTCTGGACGTTGAAACAACATCTGTTACCTATCTAAATTTCCTTAGCACGTTCTATTCACCGAAATGTAGCTAATTACCATAAACATTTGAATTCTGGAGTAACAGTGTCTTCCAGATAGTCTTTTCTATTTCCTTGCTTGACAAGCTTACCTTGGTTTTGTTCAGGAGTGTTCCTGGGACTTGGCTTGAGTGGCGTCGTGCCCACGATGCACTTTACTATCGCCGAGGGCTTCGTCAAGGCCACGACAGTGGGCCAGATGGGCTGGTTCTTCCTCATGGCTGTGATGTACATCACCGGAGCTGGCCTTTACGCTGCTCGGATTCCTGAGCGCTTCTTTCCTGGAAAATTTGACATATGGGTAAGAAAGAACTCCCCCCACAGGGCCCGTGATGGTGTGTGAGCTGCCCAAAGTTAAAGGTTGGGATAGAAGGTGGTGGAAGACGCAGGGAAGATGCAGTGTTGGGGGGTACACATGTATACATAGGGAAACGGAGGGGGGGGGAAACCAATAGTAACATTTTGTGTGTCACTGACAAGCTGTCTCTTTAAAATTTTCTACAACAAATATATCACGTTTACAATGTAAAAAAAAAAAAAACACAACACATTTTAAGGAGAAACTAGAAGAGGTAAATACTTTCTCTGATTTATTTCTCCAATTATTCTGATCTCTCCTTGCCATTATTCTAAAGGCTCTTCTCTTGTTATTCCTACAGTTCCAGTCTCATCAGATTTTCCACGTCCTGGTGGTGGCGGCAGCCTTTGTCCATTTCTACGGTGTCTCCAACCTTCAGGAGTTCCGTTATGGCCTAGAAGGTGGCTGTACTGATGACTCCCTTCTCTGAGCCTTCCTACCTGAGAGGTAGAGGAGGAACTTCCCAAGTGCTTTTAAAAATAACTTCTTTGCTGAAGTGAGAGGAAGAGTCTGAGTTGTTTGTTTCTAGAAGAAACCTCTTAGAGAATTCAGTACCGACCAAGCTCTAGCCCACTTTCACACCTTGCCCAGTGGGTACTGGGCAATAAACTTTCCATTTTCCTAGCTGAGGAGAGTGGGAGTGGCCAAACTCAGCCATCCTCCCCTCAGCAGGCCCCCTCCTCGGCAAGGCAACTGCTGTCCCCTTGCAGAGACAGTACATTGAAGCTCATGTTGAGATTTTAGACCTCCAACCATTTTGGGGAAAGAATGATGGACTGGGACTCTTCAGAAGTTGTTTCTGGAGGAAAATGTCCCTTCCTTACCCCATCCTTACTTTGTAACCTGGCTTATAACAGGCCATCCATTTTTGTAGCACACTTTTCAGAAACAATTATAACCCGGTCCCATTCTTTCTAGAGCCTGGATCTGCTCACACAGCAGGAAGAACAAAGCCACCAACTTTTACATAGCCCGGCTAATCATGGAAGTGTCTCCAGGCTTCAAATAACTTGAGTTTTAATTTTTTTTTTTCTTGGCAGAGTAATGTAAAATTAAAATGGGGAAAGATATTTAATATTTAATACTAAGCTTTAAAAAGAAACCTGCTATCATTGCTATATATCTTGATGCAAAGACTATGATGATAATTAAAGTACAGAAGACACTTGGCATTCAAATATCTGATGTGTGGTCTCAAGTATTTTCACATAACACAAAGGATTAAGACCAGTAAAAAATTTCTGATTCTGCTGAGGAACAAACTTGAACACAGGCATCGACAAGCTGACATGCACAGGCCAGTGAATAAGTCTGATTGAATACCTAGCATCTCAATATAGCTTTATTTTTCTCTGCATATTGCAGACGTTACAGAATTTAGAGTTTAGTGCTGTTAAAACGGCCTTGTGTAAAGTGGTCTCATAAAGGGTTACTCCATGCCTTTCTGTTCCTTTATGGATTGTACTCAACCTCACATGAGTTTTGTTCATCAGAAAGTATAAGGCCCACAGTAATCAGTTCTGAGCTAATTGGGTACTTAGGTGTCCTTTTGAGTTATAAAGTCAGGTATACTTCAAGGATCAGGTTTATTCAACTGGAAAAACAAAAATCCTCCTGAAAAACAGTCCAACTAGGCCAACAAAGGAAACATTTCTCAACCTCGAGTAGTAATCAGGGAGATGTAACTTAAAACCAGAGCGATAAACCATTGCACACCAACCAGACTGGCACACATTAAAAGCTCTGATACTGTGTGTTTGTGCTGGGGTAGGGGGTGGGGAGGGGCGGGGCCTGCACTTCAGCAGGACCACCATGTGGATGGTGGACAAGCGCAGAGCAGATGCACATGTGGCAATGCGGTTCGTGAAGCAACACAGTGATGTATATCTGAACTCCTACAAAAATGCTGGTTTTGCCCCACTACATGGTTTCATAACTCACTCATGGATCACAATTTAGACTCAAAAACACTGCCCGTGAGAAACCTGACTTGTACCCAAAGATCCACTGCAGCTCTGTGGTAGCAGCATTCTGCCAACAAGCCAAATGTCCAAAAGGGTTGAGCAGAAAAATCTTGGTTTATTCCTAGGCTGAAACACTACCAGTGAAAATGACCTCATGGTAATAAGCAACAAAGGGAGGGAAGCAAGTTACTGAAGAATACATCTGCAACTGCATTTATGTGATGTTCAGAAATTTGCAAAACTAATGATAGTTTAAGGATACAAACGGTAAAAACTTTAAAAAGGAAATGTTAATTCAGAAAAATGACTACTACCTCTAAGGGGTAAGAACAGGATGGGAGCAGAAGGGCACGCTGCCTGAGGGTTCCAATACCATGATTATTTTTTCTTGTATATAAGCAATGAGTACTTTATTCAATACCAAACAATCTTCCATTTAAAAAAATATTTCATTGCTGACAACAAACATCACAAACTTGTGACTTCCAGGTTGCAGCATTCACACATGTGTTTTCTTTGGCCTGCACCCTGGGGCCAATCAGCTGCAGCTCAGTAGCAGCCATGACCTTCACGGGCCTTGTGCTTTCCAGCTTTTAAGTCCCTAGATAGCTTGCTTCCCTCACTGGAGTCAGCTGCTTAAGCCCTGGAGGCATCTGCATTTGCAACCACATGTATAGGGCCAGAAAGAAGGGACTACAATGGACCCAACTGCATTTTCTACATGAGGAGATAAAGGAGATTCATAGCAACTGGTGAAACAAAGTGTGTAGGATTCTTCATTTTTTCAGTAGTAGACAGGACCAGAGAAAGAATCTAAGAGGGAATGTTCATTGAGCATCTACTTTATACTTTTGCCTCACTTTTTCTTTTTATCTTTAACCCTGTGAATTAAGTAGCAATCCATTCCACAGATGAAATGGAGTCAGATCTGAATCCAGATTATTCCAATTTAAACCCCTGGTTCTAAAGTCTTGGATCACTTAAAATTTCTTTTCACTCCTGATTTCAGTATTTCCCTTTATCGGAACTGCTGCTTTACCAGAACAACAAATAAATACTAGCTTCTTTCTCTAACTGCAAACTTAAAAGTTGATTCACTTATTCCCTAAATCCAGGCCCTGCTGTATGCTAGGCACTACAGAAGAAGTAAACAACAAAAACAATGATGCGTTGTTGGCAAATAATATCCAAGAAGAATAAAAGCAAGAATCTGACTCTACCCCTTTCTATCAATAAATTTAAGAGACTAATTTATCTTTACCTATACTACATTCATCTTAGATTTAAAATATATAACTTTGGGAACATTGGTAAACTCTTAAATTAGCACAAATGGGTAATACAGTACAAAGAAATTATTGAATGCTAAGTTAGTCCAGTCCTCAGAGAAGATAAAATTAAACGTGCAAGGATTTTATTAGGGGAAATGCTTACATGTAAAGGAAAATAGGAAGGGAGTGAGAGAAGTTTGGGACAGTGTTTAAATGAAGGAAAGGAAAAGTAGAGGAAAGTGTCCTGGACAGTCCTGTAGTCTAAGAAAGTTCGAGTAAAGCTCTTGGTTTGGAGGAGTCCTTGAGCCAAAGTCAGTTAACAAGACTGCCAGGATCTGCTTAATATCTCCGCTATCCCAGTGAGCGGCAGAAGCCACCTCGGGAGGCCTGACTTGGGTCTGGTGCCAATTTAGCTGAGTCTCAAAGCTGCAGCCAGGCCCTGCATTGATTACAGTCAGCAACAGAGAGCCGCATGCTTCTTGTTTACACTCTGCTGGTGTAAAATGCAAAGTATTCGGCCTGGCTGGTGTACAGATCAACATGTCCTCTACGCACTTGATGTAGAGTTACCAGGCAAATTCCCTGTTTTCCCTCACTGAAGCTCTCCAGTAACTGTGAACACCTATAATCACCCTGGGTGTCCAAATCATAAAGACGATATGATATCTAACCTTATCAAGACCCAACTCCAGAATGGACCTAGGAAATTCTGAGTAAGTTTGGGCTGTAAGACTGAGTCAAATATCCCAATGACTGGAAGTATTCTTGTTCTTGTAGGGAAAGGAGTGTCCTCATAACATAAAAACCCAGAACATGCTGGGACTGTAACCCTGAAAAAAAAAAAAACAAAACAGAAGAAGCCTAAACTAGTTGTCTCAGTATGCTGACTTTCTAGTTAGCAGTTTCTTTGTCCTTTATTCTTTGGAAAAGGGGTGGACATAGTTAAACAAAGCCTCTTTTATTAAGCTCCATTTCATATTTGAAAAATTTCTTGATTTAGCAGCCAGGAATTAAGCAATATCATTAAAGTGATATTTTACATCCAGAAAACAAGGGGTGGTTTTTACTTTTTCTTTAAATTGTACATTTTTTAATTCATAAGCTGCAAAGTTCAAAAGGTACAAAAAAGATAATACGAGAAAAATCTCCCTCCAGCACTATCTCCCAACCAACCAGTTTCTCTCTCCAAGGAAACCAGTGTCAATGTTTTATTTTGTATCTTTCTAAATGCTTTATATATATTATATATATATAGTATATAGTGGATATATATACACACACACACACAAATACAAAGAGTTAAGTATTTTCCCAAGCTTATGCAATAGCCAACTACACACAATTTTCACAGATGCATGGTATGAATTGTATGGCTGTACCATACTTTACTGAACCAGTCCTAAGTCATGGACATTAATCGACAACCTTATGCACATAAAATTTTAAATGTATACAAGTATATATGAAGAATAAATTTATAAGAATTGCTCAAAGGATAGCTGCAGTCATAGTTTTCATGAACTTTTCCAAAATGCCCCCATTTGTACCAATCCTGCACTCAATTTTAGATGGGAGATGAAAGGAAAGATGGAATCCGTGTCAAATTAGAAAGCTACCACTCAGCTATCGCTTTATTATCCCTAAAGAATCAAAAGTCCCATAGAAAACAGTATAATCAAACACAGTGG